GACTCTAGAAAGCGTTAAGACCTAATTGATTTTGCCGTGACAATGTTTATCTAACGCAATATCATAAAGGCCAGATATATCATCGGACCACTCGCGTGCCTTAATATGCTTAATCAAAGCCCTGAAATAACCGAACCCTCTCAAGCTTACCTTGCACAGACTTACTGGCTCAAATACAAAAAGTACGTAGGTTCACACATTGAACTAAAACCACACTTTAAACAGATCATTACAAATAAGAGACGCTTGCGACGAGCTTGGCAAGCCAGCAGATCGCTGCACTCAAAAACACTCCTAAAATCAGCTTCTTTAAAACTAACCAGGATCCCAAAACTAGAAGAAGCAAATGCATAACGGTTGTACATCGAGGAGCAATCGCAAACCAGCCAAAAAATATCCCTTGTGAGGGCCCATTCAAATCTAAGCTCTCCGATAGAAACAGTCACCCCCACTAGAACATCTTTTGGAAACTGGACTCGATACGGTGACGACAGAGCCGAGACATTCGCTTCATTTGTTCTTCCGTCTACTGATTGACTAGAGTCAATTTTAAATTGGCCAGACGAGGTTGTAAATGTCATCAGGAATCAACTGAATCAACACCAAAAATGATCATCGAACTTTCTATCTGTACTATTTCATTTGTAAACTCTTTAATAGTATCACAAAACTCGGCTATTACCTAACAAAATGCCAAACGTCAATCCTTACAATGGTACCGAAAGTTCAGCATGGTAAAGGCCAATAAGCTTACTATCTTGTCTGTCAAAACTGTTCGAAGAAAATCTAAGAGCACAAAATAATTTTCCAGCACATCAATTTGGCTTTCGGGAGAGTCATGGAACTATCGAGCAAGTCAACCGAGTAACATCAGGAATCCGTACTGCACTCGAACATCGCGAACATTTCAGTGATATATTTTTCGATGTAAAAAAATATCTTATATACATCTGCTTTCCCTACAAACGAGCGGCTAACTACATCTACATTCGCGGACGACGCCGCAATTCTAAGTCGATCGAGATGAAGCAACAGCTCAAAAAGCTGATAATCTTGTAATAGTTGAGAAATGGCTATCAGACTGAAGGATTAAAATAAAAAACAGGCGTCCTACTACACAAAGATTACTCTTCACCCCAATCATATGGCAAGGGACTTATCTCGGGCTTACAACTAAACCCGTCTTCGATGAAACGATCTTCAGCCCAGCAATAGTTATTATGGCCTTCCTTTAAATCAGTGTCCGTCAACATGACTTGTAGATAGGTAATTATTGACTTAAGATTTGATAGACCTACTGCTAGTCGAATAAATAAAGAGCACGTTTTTATTTAATTTAGTCGAACCCGATGACTTATGCTTTAGGAAAAAACGCCTATATATGCTTTATGGATTAACAGATATCGGTGTCGTGATTTTTCATGTTAATTCTATGCTACATGAACACGCAATCAGTGGTTCAATGCCCAGCCTTATAGCTTTTAGCTAAAATCGATATTGCAATTTTTAGTGGGCTCTTGTTTGCCCAGTTTTGAGAGATGTAGAATTCAAATGCCTTCTTCCTTAGGCAGGTTATACCGAGAAGGACATAAGCTGAAACTTGGACATTTCCTTAAAAATATCTTAGCAATATCTCTTTTCACGATAGGCTCCTTTGTCCTCGACCAACAACGAATTCCTCACAACCGCTGACTTGAGTCATTGCAGTGCAAATGCATATCCTTCCCAGAAAAAAATACCGAAACGCCAAGAACACCTAGACTCCTATAAAATACTAAATATAAATACTGAATTGGTTATGTGTGTGCGATCACTATTTCTGCTGAAGCGAAAATATAGCGGCTCCAGCTCATGTCTCTCTTCCATGTGTTTTTCTTAGGGAAGAAGAAAAAGTTGTATTGGAATTTTGTTGGAGAAGCGGAACCACCCTCTGTGTGAACACACAATTAGACTTGAGGTTTTAAGTTTACCCAGTGTAAATACTTTTTTGCAGTACTCGGATTATATTCTCACTTGATAGGTAACCCGGCGTGGTGAGACAAAGATTTGATGGTGTCATTTTAGCAAATGTACTTATTATAGAAGAAAAAGTCGCGTAAAGGGAATTGTGGCCCTGATCCTAAAAGTCCTCTGTCTGAACAGTGTATAAGGCTAAGCCCTAATGTCCCCTTCACATAGAGTCCATCCGTTCGAAGCGGTTGGGATTTTTGACATATGTGAAACTCCGATTCCCACAGGGCACATCCACCATGTACCATCCGATAACAGCTGATCTGAAAACCTGTAGCTTATCAAACCAAACCTGTTGCTTTATTTTCAAATGTGAAACTCCGATTCCCACAGACCATATCCACCATCCGTTAACAGCTGATAGGGCTAATCTAACCAAAACTGTTGGTTCGTTGCCTTCCATTTTTGATTGTTTCCTGTCTACATTGCTTACGTTTTTGTAGTGAATGCTTAAACTTCCGCTGTCAAGAAGAAGAGCTCAGAGTTGCACTGAAAAAAATCGCCAAAATAACGCATAAAAGATGGATTTCGGATTTTTTTGGAGCGGCAAAACCTTATGGACCATCCGTTCAACGGATGGTAGATGATGAGTAGAATGACGCTAGAAGGCCTAGTACTCAGATCGGCCAATAGCGTCTTCCCACAGATATCCATTCATCACCTACATTTGGCTTGGAAACATCGTGCAATAGCGGGGAGCACGAAAATATGTCCATGTGTACATGGAGATGGCCCATTCCTTAACCGAAGCTGGGTTGGATGTGTCCTACAAAGATGTCCTGAGAAAAATTTAAGTCCTGACCAAAAAGTACAGGTAAATTACACGCGCGCAACAACATATTATAAGTCCACTCCACGATACCATTCTTTGCAGGCAGGATTACGAGTTGCTCCACTCATTCCTAGGCGCATACTGCATCCACAACATGGAGCAGAGTACCATGGGGAACGAGAACATATCCTTATATTTGTGGCTTAAAATTAACTAAAAAAAATGTATTTATTGCAGATACTAGGAAATTCTCTGTGGAGGTCTTAGGTGTGGGCCCCTATGACAGGGAAGCATCCATCTGCAGCGGAAGTCAACGCTCAGGCAGCACTTCGCCCCCTAATAAGCGCGCAAAGGTGGACCACAAGGCCGAGCTTGTGAAGATAGCTCTGGAAAGGCTGGAGGAGCAGGGAGCGCAGACGAAAATCATGTCAGGGATGGCGGACAGCCAAGCTGAGCTCCAATCGGATTTGTTGGCTGTTGAGAAAATCAACGAATTGGTAAAACAATGAATAAATAGGGTAATTTAAAATACAAAATGTGAATGAACTAAACAAAAAACAAACATTTTTATATCTAATTAACTTTATTTGTTACCATTTAGACAACATTGGGCAATATCTGCTCTTGATTTCTCTACAGGTTGGCTAAAATCTGCAGACAGAAAGCACACTTCGTGGCATTTTTTTCTTGTACTTATTCTTGTAGTGTGACCGAAATTTTCCAAATTCACCCGCAAAGCATGTAGCATAAACTTGCTGTTAAGCAGCTGAATTGATTTGTTGTCGATTTAAAAATGACGAATCTGCTAGTGTACAAAAATATAAATATACATGAAATGTTCAAGGGATGCCTTTATTTATGTGAAATAATAGTTTAGGGCTTCTTTCTCGCGTTGCGGATGCTTCGCCATCTACTCTGCGCCATCTGCAGTCCAGCTCTGACTCGCAGAATGCCCACATGGGCCTTCAGTGAGTGGGAACGGGGTTGTTCCGCTGATGCTGCAGGAAATCGCCCAGGATGCTGGCAATGGCTGGTAGAGACTCCTCCACTTGTCCCTTTACGGGCGGTTTTTTTTCCTCCTCCCTATCAGGGAGGATGCTGGTGGAGGTAGAGTCCTGCGATTCGTCAATGGGGAGCTCGTCGGAGATCGAATTACTGGGAGTGCTGCTAAAAAGAGTGCTATGAGTACAAAGTAACAAAATTCTTTTGGCCAGAACTTATTTTCTTTTCGTGGATCCGTCCGGCAGCATGTCCATGTAGGGAGCGAAGTCCCACTCGACATGCTGCTTCCCTATAGGCTTCTCGATTGGATTATCTCCACCACTTCCATTCTTCTACGGGTTTGCCCTGGTGTGGTATTGCTTCTTGTGGGTCAAGTCCCAATAATGGGTAACTTGGATAAGGCTTTATTAAGACGTCCTTTTTCATCTGCTCTGACCTCCTGCGGACGTTTTAGGTTTTGCCTTTCATTTTTACGTATCGTTTTAAAACCGCTTATGCACGAACACATCGATTGCTTAAATTTTTTATGGTATTTCCTAAGCTCAGCTGAATTTCCTAACTGATAAACCGACCCGACGAAAAGCGTAAGCCGCCTATTTGCATTTCACTCACTTCTATGTTTAGTTCGCGGCCTTCGTCGATGTGATCACTAGACTTAAGCTCGTGAATTTGTAACTCATAATAACTAACTAATTTTTATAAAAGGTGTAGTATATTCTCCGATATTGTCGATTGACGGTTTGTTTAAAATTTCATAATATTAATTTGCTTTAGCCAGAGGCGTACCAAGAAGGGATAGTAGTGGTTTGGAAGCTCAGCAATCCTGTGTCAGCAATTTGATGGAGATTTGATTTAGGACTTGCTTAAAAGTTCAGATAGGCTTTATACGTTTGTATGGTATTTTATATAAATAAGAGCAGGAAAATCACATTGGACGACATTTTCGCCGATTAGGAAACGCCTTTCGATTAGGTTGTGATGAGATACTGCTGTTCACTTCAGATGTTATTCTAATGTGCTATGTAGAAGTCCAAGTTTCACATTTGTCAAAAATCCCCAGTGTTTCAAACGAATATACTCTGTGTGAAGAGGCTATTAAAATGTCAATGAGGGGGTATACGTGTTTAGGCACAAAAAGCCGTTTAGTACACGCAGTACATAATCATATTTGGCTCATATTACTATCTTAGCACTAAAAAGTATTCCTTTGTTATCGATAATGATGTATAAAATAAATATTTTTGGGAGATGACGCCGAAGACATTTTAAATAAGTTTCGAAATTACGTGTATTAAAATGTTCTATGAACACATTATTTTGGCCAAGAAGGGTCCTTTGGCCAGGATCTGGTTAGCAGCTCACTGGGACAAAAAGATTACAAAAGCCCATGTATTTGAAACGAATATTGAAAAATCAGTGGAAGGCATTTTGCAGCCCAAAGTAAAATTGGCGCTAAGAACGTCTGGTCATTTGTTGCTTGGAGTTGTGCGCATTTATTCAAGAAAAGCTAAGTATTTATTAGCTGATTGCAATGAAGCATTTGTTAAGATTAAGGTATACTTTATTTACTCAATCAGCGGTGACCCTATTTGTAATACTCCTATTTGTAGATGGCTTTTCGACCAGGCATGGTCGACCTACCAGAAGGTCACAGAGAAGCGAATGTTAATGCAATAACACTACCCGAAGTTTTTCATGACTTTGACACGGCGTTACCCGAATTGAACGATATTGACATTGAAGCTCAATTTTCCATTAACCAGTCCAGAGCTGACGAGATAACAATGAGAGAAGATTACGGCAGCTTAACTATCTCTCTACAAGATGATGGCTTTGGAGACATAGGTTTCGAAGCGGAAACACCAGAAATTATGCGAGGATCTATAACTTCAAATATCAATGTATGTATAGTGTAGCATTTATAAATTCTGATATTTGGTGTGCCACAGAAATCCCTTTGGTATATGATCGTAAGATTCCAGTTTGGTGCAATAAGTACTTAGCCTCCAAAAAAAAAAACGAAAATTTTGGAAAAGTGGCGATTTATTTCTCAACATAATCTCCTTTTAGCTCGATACACTTGACCCATTTCTGTTCAGCGAGTGACTTTCAAGTTTGGAAACAAAAAAGTCACACGGGGCGAAATCTGGAGATTATGGTGGATGGGGTAGCAGTTCTTAGCCCAATTCGACCAATTTGGCCTTGGCGGGGGCGGAAGTGTGAGCCGGTGCGTTGTCATGGTTAAAGAGCACTTTTTTCTTCGCCGAATGGGGCCGTATTTTCTGCAATTCGGCGGCGAATCGGCCCAATAATTCGGCATAGTACAGCCCTGTGACCGTTTTGCCCTTCTCCAGGTAGTCGATGTAGATCACACCTTGTGAATCCCAAAAAAAGGTGGCCATCACCTTTCCGGCCGGTGGGACAGTCTTCGCCTTCTTCGGAGCAGGTTCGCCGGGTGAAGTCCACTGTTTCGACTGTTCCTTGGTCTCTGGTGTGTACCAGTGGATCCATGTTTCGTCGACGGTCACGAAACGACGCAGAAACTCCTTCGGATTGCGCTTAAACAGAGTCAAACACTGCTCTGAAGTGGTCTCACGGTTGCGTTTGTTGTCCGGAGTGAGCAAACGCGGCACCCATCGTGCCGACAGCTTTCTCATGCCCAAAATTTCATGCAGGATATGACCCACTCGGTCTTTTGACATTCCTACTTTCTCAGCTATCTCGCGTATCTTTAATCGGCATTCTGCCAATACGAGATCGTGGATTTTTGTCACGTTATCCTCCGTGGTAGCCGTTTTCGTGGCACCTGGGCGTGGCTCATCAAAAACCGACGTGCGACCACGTTAAAACTCGTTAAACCAATTTTTGACGGTCGTCATCGAAGGAGAAGAGTCATCGTATACAGCATCCAAGCGCTTTGATTTCGCTGCGTGATTTCCCTCCAAAAACAAGAATCGAATCACAGACCGATATTGCTCTTTCGCCACTTGTCTAAAATCCGCGGACACGTCCGATTCCACACGCAGTCAAAACAAAATTACGAGTCCGATTCGGCTGAAATTTCGACAGTAGCCGTCTACGAGAATGTACTACACGATAGTACATTTCTCTTGCGATAGTGACGCATCGGGCGGTGAGGCTAAGTACTTATCGGGCTGCTCGTATATGTAAGAATTCTAACCTATTTAATATGTATTTGCCCTTAGAGGCAAGAAACTAAATGATGTTTGGTCATATGCAGTATTTTAAAACGAATCTCAAATCTCTTCTAATCTATATGGTTAGCCTGTGTGGAGACCTTAACTAGCTCTGTCAAAACATGCAATACCTTTTTGGAATTGAATTGCAACAAAGAATCAGAAAGTGAAAAATGTTGATTTCTTTTTTAGTTTTTAAATTATTCAAGAAACTGTATTAAAACTCGAAAAACTTACCGAAAAAAATAATAGCACCACTTTTCAAAAATGGGTTTAAAATGATAGGAACTACCAATATTCATCAGATAACAGTATTGAACTATTAAGTCTATGTTTACATTCTTCATTTAATACTTTGTGGTGTATCCTTTAATGGAAATAACAGCTGCGTCTTGGCATGGAGTCAACTAGGCCCTGGCATCGCTTTATGGAAATTTGAGTCCAGGACTCCTTAATTACTCCCCAAAGGGATCCGATGGATGTTGGTTTTGATGCAGCGACTGCCTTCTTGGATTAAGGTCTGGAGACTGCGAAGGCCACTCCATAACGTTCACAGAGTTGTTCCCAAACCTTTTCTTTGCCTTCTTGCTGGTATGTTTGGGGTCATTATCTTGTTGGAAGACCCACACAAGCGGCATTTCATACTCTGCGAAAGGTAGCATAATGGTATGTCCACGTATAAGTGCTGGTCCATGATGGCCTTGATTTAATGTATCGGGCCTACTCCTTAATAGGAAAAGCCGGCCCATACAATAACACTACGCCCTACATGCTTTACTGAGGTTTAAATTTCGAGTTCTTTGGACGTCTGAAATACGATCTGGATCCTTTTCCACCAAACATAATCACCTTGCTCTCACCTGACCGTAAAATATTCCTCCACTGATCGGGTGACCAATTTGCATTTGCATCCTTGGCAAACTTAATTCGCTTAGAAATATTTCTGGCATTTAAAAGTGGTACCTTTCTCGGGCTGCAGGCTGTTAGGTTATGTTCCCTGAGAAATGTACGCACAGTTTGCAGCGTCGCATTTATTTTAAACTCCTTTTTAAGCTCAGTAGCAGATTTGAAAGGATCCTTCTTGCTCTGACGAATCAATCGATTGTCGTGAAGGGGGTCATAGATTGTTTTCGTCCTCGTGTTTCAGGTTTTTCTTTATAGTTTAGAGCGTTCTTAATCACTTTATTTAAACATCCGACCAATCGACCAACTATCACGGTTTTACTCAGTGCAAAGCTTTCCACGTCCCATTTCAATGGTATTATCAAACTTTTTATGTTCAAAATATTGAAATTATAGATAAATTTAATTGACCCGTGCTTTGTATTAAGGCTATTCGGCAAAATATGGGGTTTTTGCTAATAAATGTGGTAGTGGTGCTATTTTTTTACATTTTGGGGTTTTTTAATAAATCACTTAAAAATAAATTTAGGGGCAAGATTTTAAAAAAAAGTAACAAATTTTTTGGTTAGAAAGAATACTAAAGAGTACAAAAAAATGTGTTGAAAAAAAGCAAACACTGAAAACAATTTTATTTTACCCAGAAAAAAATGTATTGAATTGGTGCTATTATTTTTTTGCCACTGTATAAGCCTGAATTTTGGGATTACGATTTCAGAGATTCTTGCGCTGCGGTGCTTGTGGTGTCACGTCCAGCCTAACTCTCACAAACCGCACAAGACTTTGGCGACCACTACCGACACGCTGAAAGTTACTAAAATCGAACTATTATTTTGAAAATTGTAAAACGTTAAATGCACAGTAAATAAAACTGTTAACAACGATTATTCTTTGCTACTACTCAAAGGAATATTTGATTCAGCAAACTAGCCCCCAATTTGATGCTTTGATGCGCGAATAAAAATGTTAAAGGAAATATTTTGGTTTCGTCAATAGCTATCGAAATTGTAATCGCCTCTAGGTGGCGCCCTGCAAAGCAAAGCAGCTTCTGTGTACGTTAAGCGGACATTTATATTAAACTCAAAAAATTTCTCACCCCATTATAAATTTACGTTTAGTGTCCTTAATGCATAAAAAAAAAAATTTTAAATGGGCTTAGACGGTACGCAATGGCATCTTCATGTTCTAAAGTACTAGCTACAAGCTACAAGTACTAGAAAAAATCCAACAATTAATAGATTTTTATGAGACTGGGCTTATGCTAACACAGTGTTAATCTTACAAGTTGAGTCCCACAAATGCAAGCAAAGACAGTCATTTTGGTTCGGAGGCAGAAGCTCAACTAACTAGGATACGATGGATAGATTTAACTCATGAATTGAGCTACCTTTTGTTACCCTTATTTGAACAGAATCCATAAGTTGACCAATTAAGGAACGGAAGAAACATTTTCATTTTTTGAGTCACTTTTATTGCAACTGGGAGACCATTGCGCGCCGCCTAAACTTTTTTCGCAATTATTTATTTAATACAGACCGTTAAAAAGTCCACCCTAGTGTACTTGCATGTTTCACATTGGAGCTACCAAAGCTATTGTTTATTGTGTGTTGACATTAAGTATCAGCTTTATATTTTCAAACCTAAGCCGTCGACTGACCTCGAGTTAGCTGAAAACATTTTAAGTTAATTAAAATAAAATAGTTAAATCTAGGGGATGAGTGTAATTTCGTATTGTATTTTAATTATTTAAATTCATAAATTAACTATTAATAGTAGCTGTTCCAATGCAATGTCTTCCAAGAACTTAAACTGTGCAGTATACATTATATTGTTGGTCGTTTCATCAACTATCACCAAAAAAAAGTAAAACAAACAATTTTAAAACTTCATTATTTTTATAACCCTAAAGACTCAGGTATCTTTAGTATAAAAGCTATTTTATTCATTTTGTATGGGCTTTACTACATTTCACCCAAATAGATTATATTTATCAAGAGCAGTATGTTAAACCAAAACCGACCTTACAAACGTTTTTATACCCGTTATTGGTAGAGTAAAACGGATTATATATATATTCTTGATCAGGATCACTAGCCGAGTCGATCTAATCATGTCCCTATGAACGCTGAGATCTCTGAAACTACAAAAGCTAGAAAGTTGGGAATGTAGATTCCGGAGCTTCTTGCGCAGCGCAAGTTTGTTTCAGCAGGGTGCCACTTCCACTCTAACGCCCACAAACCGCCCAAAACTGTGGCTCTTACAGTTTTGATGCTAGAATAAAAATTTTAGCTGCATTGTATTGTTCTCATCAATACCTTTCGATTGACCCATAAAAAGTTGGCTAAGCCCACATACCGCCAACAAACTTCAAAAAATCATAAATATGAACGCGAATATGAAAGAGAATAGGGATCTTAGATTTAGATTCCGTAGCCTTGTACGTAGCCTACTTTAACCCCCACAAACCGCCCAAACCTGTGGCGCCCACAATTTTCATGCTAGAAAAAAGGTATTAACTGAAATGTATTAGTCTCGTCAATACCTATCGATTAACCAAAAAAAGGTTTGCCACGACCACCCAAAGGCCCACAAACCGAACAAAACTGTGGCTCCTACAGTTTTAACGCTATAATAAAAATTTTAACTGAAATGTATTGTTCTTATCAATACCTATCGATTGACCCAAAAAAAAGTTGGCACGCCCACAAGCCACCCACAAACTTCAAAAAATCGTAAGTATGAACTGTATATGTCGGAAACTATCAAAGAGAGAATTGGGATTTCTGATTTAGATTTCGTAGCCTTGTACGCAGCCCAAGTTTGTTACGCCCACAATTTTTAATGCTGGAAAAAAATTTTAATCGAAATGTATTAGTCTCGTCAACACCTATCGATTGTCCCAAAAAAGTTTTCCATGCCCACTCTAACGGCAATAACGCTTAAATCTGTCTGCGCATTTCGATCTCGCTTTGCTGCTTGCAGATCTCGTTCTCCCTTATTTTGTCTAGTAGTGTACATACAGTGGTGCTCATATACTTAAGCCACAAGACTTCAACCAAAAATTTAAACGAAAATTAAAAAAAGTTTTTATTTCACAGCTCCAATTTTTTGTGTCACATTAGTTCTATATATCAGTGTTCTAATAGAAGAATAACCAAGTTATAAAAATATATATTCAACGAAAAACTTAAAAAATCTGAGAATCTCCAAAATATCCTGCTCACATACTTAAGCCACCTGGAACATATTGGTTGAAAAAGTTAAAATTTTCTTAATATTCCTTATACTTTTAATAAATTTACTTTAATATTGAGCGGGATGACCTTTCTGCTTAAGAAGAGCGGAGCAACGCTTTGGCACTGAGTCCACAAGACGTGCGCACTGTTGATGGGTGATTTTCTTCCACTCTTCTTGCAAAACTCGCCACAAATCGTTTTTATTTGCTGGTTTTTTTTGGCCAACGACTTGTTTAACAATTCCCCACAAGTTCTCTATAGGGTTAAAGTCGGGGCTCTGCGGTGGCCATTGCAAAACATAGATTAAGCCACGACTTGACTATTTTGCTGGTGTGTTTCGGGTCGTTCTCCTGTTGAAATATCCAGGCAAGTGGCAAATTATCGGCATATTCTCCAGATAAATTGTTAACAAGGATGTCCCTGTCCATTTCGCCGTTCATAATGCCTTCTATCTTCCCTAGGGGACCTACGCCCGATGCGGTGAAACAGCCCCAGACCATAATCGAAGCCCCACCATGTTTAATAGTCTTCTTCGTGTATTTGGGGTCCAATTGTTTGTTGGGAGAACGTCGTACATATGGTTTACCATCACTCCCAAAGACATTAAACTTGCATTCGTCTCTCCAAACAATCATGTTCCAAAAATTGGGACCTTTTTGAATATGCTCTCTGGCGAATTGAAGGCGCTTTTTAACATTTTTAATTGACAGCAATGGTTTTTTTTAAGGCAATGCGTCCATATAACCCAAATTCACTTAGCTGTCTTCTTATGGTCTGAGTTGACACATTCACGCCATAATCTGCCACCATTTGACCCCTGATTTGCGTCCAAGTCTAGAACAGATCGGCTTTACTGCTTTTGGAAATCCGTCTATCGTCGTTTAAAGTGGTTTTTCTGGGCTTTTCACGTGGAACACTTTCCCAGGTTCCATGTTTCTTATAAAATGCAATCGCATTTCTGACTTGGCCACGCGAAAAATGTAAAGTCTTACAAATTTGTAGAATATTTGTGTTTTTTTTCGTAATATCCCATATTAGCTTTCTTTCGGCCGAATTTGAATTATTATTTTTAGCCATAGCGGTCAAATTGTTTTCGGAAACGTATTTAGTATTCAATACTTTAGTTTAGAAAATAACTAGCACAACTTTTCCGGAAAAAACACAAGTTTGACGATTTTAGCTCAAGGTGGCTTAAGTATATGAGCAGAGCACAATACTCCTTTTTGACATTTAGTCAATTTTTTGGAAAATACGAACACCTACTTGTCATTTTTTACTGTGATCAGATGCTTAAATAACAGTGTTGCAAAATGCAAAAATTTCAGGCCGAAATAAATATGTTCAAAAAAGTTATTAAGAAAACAGTTTATGGTAGTGTCAGTGGCTTAAGTCTATGAGCACCACTCTACGTACTTAATACAAAATAAAAAAAGAAAGAAATGCTATGGCATCAAACACAGGTCAAGGGGTTGAAAGTAAAGTTGTATTTGTAAGCATCCATTCGCTGGGGAAAATTCACAAGAGAGTCAGTGAGACCAGACATAAGCAAAAATAGTGATACGATTTTTATAAAGTCACTATGCGATATTTAGGTATTTGAACATTCAAAACTATTCATTCCCCATTTATTTTACCCGTTACTCGTAAAGTAAAAGGGTAGTTTGTATTCGTCGGTATGTGTATAACAGGTAGAAGGAAGCGTTTACGATTTTATAAAGACCATACATTCTTGGGCAGGATCACTAGTATGAACTATGAGATCTCGGAAAATGAAAAAACTAAAATGTTAGGATTAAGCGAACAAGTTCAAAAGTTTCTTAGGTAGTGCACGTTTTTTCTTTAGTGGAACGCTAACGCTAAAGTCCGTGTGACGCACTCATTTGTGGTGATTTTGTTTCAGTGTAAATTGAAATGGATTTTATTGATCAATACCTATATAAATGCTGAGACTCGTACCAATCGCATTGTTATTTTAAAAGTCATGATTAACTAATGTAAAGAGGCTTTGCCAAGGCCAGAAGTACCGTCCGCCAGGTGATGTGGCACTGGCATTGGTGGTGTGTATTCTAACAGAAATTTGAAACAGAGTAACGGGTATCTGAAACCCAAGGCAATCGACTACAATTTGAGTATGCGCACTTTATAAAACATAACACTTTTCTACATTAAGTTGTTAGAAAAAGAATATAAAAGCACCTTTGATTTTGAATTTTCATGATCCTCGCAAAAAGAATTTATTTCGAGTTGTCACTAAACTTAAAAAAAGCAGAACTGGGACTTAACACAGAATTACTAATGATATTCTTTTTTGTTTTTTTATGAAAACTGTTTTCTGTTTGTTTTTTTTGTTTTGTACATATTTTTCTATGATTTCTAGATAAGACGTTTTCAAGCCAACTAATGTGGCTAGTCATAGATTACCAATGTTGAGGTCAAAACGGCATATTTGATGATTACATTTTTTTTTATTCGTTTTATTCGTTTTAAAAACATAAAATTAACTGTACTACTTGGTTTTAGGACAAGCTATTTGACAGTGACGTGTTGGAAAATATTGTGTCACTGGAGCCACATTCAACCGACGACCATGCTGATATATCTGGAGCTCGATTAGATGGTGATGGATTTGGAGATTCTTTTGGACGTAAGTAAAATTAATAATGCATACCAATCCCGGCTGTCCTACTTTGCACTCGTTTCGTTCGATTTAATTTTTCCTGTTTAGGCATTCGATTCCCCGTAGTGCCACATCTTACCAATATATAAATAATATCAACGTATCATCAATGCACCGACTTCGACTTTCGCCGAGCCGACCCTCTCTTTCAATTTCTCTTCAAAAATAAAGTTTATGAAATTTCGATGAAATGTTGATAACAAAACCCAGTTTTGGTCTATGAAATGTTCATTAAAAGAAGAAATAACTTTCGTTTTTAAGTTGCTGGTTCTTACTCTGTGAGTAATGTCCGTCAGTCTATATAAATGCTACGACCTTCAAAACTATAAAAGAATTCTGATTTAGCGCAAGTTTTTTCTATCCCAAAGCCTTTTTTGTCCCAAAATAATAGTTTTAAGAAAGGCACCTTTTTCGGCATGCCAAAAAATTGGGACCCTTTAAGGGAACGTTCTCTTTGTTTTGGTCGAAATGAAGGCAAAGTTCGTCAATTTTTTGTGGGATAATGAAAAGGCGTACAAACTTCGGGTTTTGCTTTTTGATTTCGTTTATTATTCAAGATTTTTTTAAAATTTATTTGACGGTGAAATTCAAAATAGCGGCTGCAAAATGGCGGCTTTCGTCTGCCTCCGCGCGGCAAACATCGTCCAAAAATTCCGAGCCTGCAGCCTCTTGTAGTCAACTGAAATAGAAAATTGTTATCATTAGTTAAAGTTAATATACTTTTGAAAGGCACTAACCTATGGCATCAAATTGCGGCCATAAATTGACCGCGTAATGAATGTTCGAATTTTAAAGTTCGATTTTCGTACATTTTTTTTCAGTTAAACCACGTTGAAAAATTATAAATAAATTATTGTTTATTTCCGGAGTAGCTTAGTGCCCAATAAAAAAGCATATACTTTCATAAAAATTTTACATGAAGCAAATCGGTTCACAGGATGAAGCTGTGGACGCGGAATTTTTTTGAAAAACATGGTTTCGAGAAAAACGCGTTTAAAGTTTTTTAAAAGTATGACTTAGAATAACTTTTTTGTTTGATTAGTTATTACGGCCACCATTCGATCTTATAGGTTTTCTGTGATGAGTTTATCGGTCAGTTTTCCAGCCCCCTTCCCACCAAGCCCTTTTGTGTCCGTCTTCAGCTTGCGGAGACGACTTCCCATGCGCTTTTGGACATGACCTACGCACTTTTTCTTCGCCACTGGGCAATCATCGTATGGGTTCATGTCAGCCAGAGCCTTGAAGGTTTTCGTATCTCCGTCGCCAATATAATATTTATATTTTACCCCCAGAAGGCTTTCCGAGTTTTCAAACATTTCGCGCACCCCGTCCTCCTCCATTTTGCCCGCACTTCCACTGTGATTCGCCGCACAATCGTCAACATGATCTTCGTGCCATTGTTCATACTCCGGGGTACCTATTTTCGATGCCCAATTGTAGCAAGCTTGGCAATAAGATGATTTTACAATCACGTCCAAAATCTTGCCAGAGTACTTGCCGATAAGGGAAACGAGACCAAATAACGAAGAAAATCCCCGCTTTTTCCAAGATCCGTCCCCAGAAACAGACTCGGCTCGTTCCCAGCTGCGGAGTTAGCTCCGATTTCTTCTTTCGCGGCTTTCCTCCGGACGATGTCAAAGACGACCTTCGAAGCGGCGTGCAAATTGTCCAGGAAGTTATAATACTGACTGTTACTGAACGAGTGTTTTATGTCAAGTAAAGAGCAAAACGTTTTTACAGTTTGCAATCCGCACCCGAAAACGCGAAAAGCGAATAAAAGTCGTCGGTTGATCTCGTAAACGTTTTGCGATATCGGAGACGATAAAATTTGGCGCTTTTCACATGAACAATCTACAATAAGTTTGAATCTAACACCAGGTCCTGCCGTGCGTCCAAACTTCACTGCACCAGAACAAGATTTGCACACTCAACGCGTTGAAAACCATCAAGAAGTTGCAAATAACGTAAGTGCTTGCGTCGATTTCGATATCGTCAAAGCCCATGTCTTTTAGTTTTTTCGCCGACGAACTGACATGATCCGCACTTGCTTCCCCCGAAAATTGATTCCCTTGGAATTTCCTTTTGCGAACCCGCGAAAGTGACCGCTTTGTTTTCGGCATTTCGTACGAAATTAGAGACAAATATTTCGCGACAGAAAAACAACAAACGTGAGCGAACTCGGCGATTTACAGTTGCAGGTTAGAGATTTTTCGGAACATCTGCTATTTCTTGTAGGTGCTGCCATCTAAATACATTTCTATGTACCACTGACACACGATAATACCGACCCTCATTCGTGTTTCGGTGAATAGAAAGCCATTTCTCACCGCGCCATGAATCAGCACCGTAGCGTCCCGCAGCGCGCGTGACGCAGGTGTATTCGAGACGCTCTCATTCACAAACTATTCATCGTATCGAAAAATCCTTTCACACACATACTCTACGGATATGTGGCTTTCAATTTTTGCAAAAAAAAAATCGATTTTTTGATCCAAAACAAAGAGAACGTTCCCTTAACTTTCATTTATTATGAACTATCTAAGATAATATTCCTAATACTTCGACATACATACATACATAATACAGAACCGCTTTATGCTGATTCCGCGTGATATTCTTTTGTAAATGGGTTTAAGTTCTTACTAGGATTTTCATAATTTAAGAAATACTGCTCCGATCAACTTGATGTTTTATGTTACAATTTAAATTTCAAAATGTTTTATTAAATTGTTTTTATTTTTCCAAATCCAAAAACAACCCGTTCAGCCAAGACGAAATACTTCAAAATGTTAATTGGTTTTATAACTTTGAATTTTTGACAAACTGCATTTGTAGTACATTCATTGCTGGACTAATGTTAAATTAATGTTATTATGTATTAATTGCATTCATAAGTTTAGTGTATCTCTAAATTGACTGCCTGGAAAAAGGAATTGGCGTAAAAAATCAAGCCTATTACAACACTGGAAATGCCTGACTTTTAATTAAACTCATTTACTTAACGGAAAAAATTAAAAAGACATTTAATGAAACAAGTCAAATCTAACTCAGGCGGATAACTAATGACAACAAAAATACTCATAACAAGATTTTGTACTCTAATGGCCAGAGAGAAAATTAAAAAAAAAAACGTATATAGGAAAGACTTAGAGATAAGGTAAACCATTGAAATTAAAACAAGGAAGAACGCTATAGTCGAGTACCTCGACTATCAGATACCCGTTACTCAGCTTAAGGGACCAAAGGGAAATGGAGATATGCAAGCAGCAAAGCGAGATTGGAATGCGCCACCTACCGGCGATAGACAGATTTAAGCGTTATGGGCGTTAGAGTGGGCGTTGCAAACTTTTTTTGGGTCAATCGATAGGTATTGATGAGAACAATACATTTCAGTTAAAATTTTTATTCTAGCATCAAAACTGTAGGATCCGCAGTTTTGGGCGGTTTGTGGGCGTTAGAGTGGGCGTGGCAATTCGCTGAAACAAACTTGCGCTGCGTAAGAAGCTCAGGAATCTGCACGCCATATCTTACTAGCCTAGCTAGTTTCCGAGATCTCAGCGTTCATCCGGACGGACAGACAGACGGACATGGCTAGATCGACACCGGCTAGTGATCCTGATCAAGAATATATATACTTTATGGGGTCTAATCTACTAGTCTGGTCTACTCTTTAGGGCTAATCGAAAATATTTGAAAACGCCCAATCAATATGCGTGTTTCAATTGGTTGTAGACGAATCCAAATCTAGCAATGATCTAAAACCTTTTGCATCTGCTAAAAAATCGAAAATTCTCTTACAGCAGCCAGAGATGGAGTGAAGGCACAAATTAAAATCAACTAACACTAAACAATTCTTATTTAAAAACGTGTGCCGCTGAAATAAATCCTTAAATTCTGTTTCAAACTTTATCAACGGATAAGTCTGACTTTTATATATAATAATAATCCCTAAGGAACGGTACTTAAAGGTGGCAAGCTCGAACACTGGAGAGGCTAAATTTGTAGAATTAGCAAAAAAGCGACCACTTGAACAAAGACTAACATTCTCAAAAAGTTCGTTTCGAAAAAATACGAGAATGCCTCTTTTTGGCCGAACTCCGCTAGCTACTGACTGGCAATCTAGTCGCACTGCTGGGGTAAAGCCAGGAATATCATATGCTTCATTTAAGTATGTGGAAGCCTCAACGAAGCACAAAAGTGAAGAGTTAAGCATTGGCTGATCGGAATATACATCGCTAATGTGGCGGTGCAAGCTTTTCCGTATTATGGAAAAAGACATGAAGGTTCGGACTATTGAGTAAGCAATCGAAATGCGTATTCAGTAACTTAGCGGTACGCAATTCTCGGAGCTCTTCTTCTGAAGCTGAGTTCTGAGCGGATCATGGAGGGACGAGAGGTTTAATGATACAAAGACTTGCTGCACTTGTGGCTTTGCTACAGGCTACATACAGTGCAGCTCTCTGCATTCTTGGACCAGTGTGAACCACCACTTTGCTGTAGGTAGCTCCTTGACTTTTGTGAATTGTAACGGCTTCTGCAGGTACTACTGGAAACTGCTTTCGGTCAATGGTAGTGGCCTGGCTAGAATTATTCTGAAAGCTCTTGATAATCTTAACAACTGGTGTCCATGAAGGCTCTTAACGGTGACTGCACTTTGATCGTGCACTAACTCCTATGCTTTCATCTAAAAATTCTATCCAAAGAGTATTCGGAGTGTTGGACGTACTGAAGCCTATCTCCCTAAGAACACCTGTGGCTTCATTAACGAGACCATCTGATGTATCTACATTGACCGTCATCATATGTTTTGCAGTGGTTTTTAAAATCAGTGAGGTACACAAACCTTGTGATTCAGATGTTTTTAATGCCCTACCTTGTTCCAGACATCTGCTCTGAACTAAGTTGTGCAGATTTAACTGAGTCTATAGCTTCCGAGTTAAATTGATCAGTGGGAATCGAGTTGAGCT